TTCGTAATGCGTGGGGATGCCGGGAGGGGGGGTGGGGTGGGGTAGGGTGGGAAGGGGGGAGTTCCTCTTAGGCTCTTGACAGCCCACCCCTGACATTTAAGGGAACATAGTTGGTGGGGGCGGGGGGGCGGCTAGTAGTAGTAGTAGTAGTAGTAGTAGTAGTAGTAAACAAGTAGTAGTAGTAGTAGTAGTAGTAGAATACAATAATAGCAGTAGTAAACAAATAGTAGTAGTAGTAGTAGTAGTAGTAGTAGTGGTAGTAATAAGGTAGTGGTACTGGTAGTGGTAGTGGTAGTAGTACTAGGAACACAGCAAACCAGCTTGCTTTAGGAAAAAAGCAGAAGGGTTGTAGTGGCTTTCCCATAGCCAACACAGCAATCGAGCTGGGTACCCCCCTCCGGATTCGTAAATCCTGCCCAAAATCCCGAATCCCGTTGATCAGGTCGATGTACTCGTTGAGCGCAGCTTAGAATGAGATGTTGGGCTAGATTAAGCAACATACCTCAACATACCTGCGAACCACATGTCAAAAATTCCTAATTCTGCCCCCCCTACCCTCAAAAAGAAAGGGAAAATAAAAGTAGGAATTAGGAATTCATAGGGGTGACCGCCCCCTCCTTGTTCCAATGGTTAAGGGGGTCCGTATTGCCCGCACAATCCTCAAGCTGCATGAGAGGCAGCCTTCCTTGCTGGGACGTGGCGCCAAGGCTTCACCTGCAGAGAGTGGACGAAGTCAAGCCAATGTTGCACACTGCCGTCTTCAACTTTCACGCTATGCGGCAAGGTAGACAATTGCCCCAGGCTCGAAGAAATTTTACGCACTTCCAACAACATCTGCATATGACACTGCTCGGCAAGCACACAACATGTGCCAATGAAAATGTATCCACCTTGATCGACAGATCCACGAACAGGAAAAAGCAAGCGGAGCCACCACCTCTCTCAACTGGAATTTGTTCAGCGTCGGCGGTACTCGCTTGCAACTAGCCCCCTGTCAGGATTGCAGAAGCTCTCCAGCAAACCACCACCCCTCTCACACCTCACATAACCAAGGAGCGGAACCTGTCACCCAGAATGACCTTGAGATTCTCGCGGCCGCTCTGGCCTAAAGCGTGCTTTGGATTGCAGAAACAGATTCACAATTTCCGTCTTGTTTTCTCGAGGAACTCGCGGTAGAAGCCCGGTCCAATTGGACAGTAGACCTGGCATCAGCAGGTGGTCAGGCAAGCTTCCAGTCACCCAGCCATTTCTCCGGATTGGATGCCTGCTCCTTCAACTGCACATATTCCTGCCAAGTCAAGGCAATCTGATATTACGCCTGCACAGGGGATCTTCGCAAGTAAGCATTTCGGTGTATGGCCTTCATCGGAAACAACTTCTCCATCGTGGTCGTATTTGTCCCTAGGAAAGCTTCGAACTTGGCTTTGGTTGTTATCAATTCGGTGATTTAGGTTTAGATCCTGTTGCGGCAGGTATTATTTCGATGAGATATTCTCAGACAAAAGTAAGTAACATGTCTTGGAAATGATTCAATGACCCTGTTCCAGGGGTGGCCTATAAAAAACATTCAGTCATAATCAAAAAAACTTAAGCCATGATCAAAAAGAAACTAAATCTTAGTCCTCCTGCCAAATGTGGACGGTCACAAGGATCGTGGAGGTCGGAGTCGCCATCCCTGTAACTGTCGGACCCTTTTGGATTTTCAAAAATGCCAACCGTCACGTGGATCGGGGTCGCGAGCCTCGTAACTGTCGTCGTTTCTGGACCTGTGCAACCTGTCGGAATGTGAAAAATGTCAACAGTTGCAGGGATCGTGGGCGTCGGGCGCGAGATCCTCGTAACTGTCGTGGCTTTTG